GGGGTGGGGTCAGGGCACCAGCCTTAGGTCTCTCAGAAACTTCTTCCCATGCAATTGCAGTTTGAGCACATGCACATGGGGGCAAAACTAGGCAGGCCCACAGCAAGGGCTGCCTCTGCCTGAACTTACCATTTGCAGCCAAATGTTAGTGGTTAAAACTTGGTTCTTCTCATCCTTAAAAAGAACAAAAAGAGAAGGGTGACATAAACATGGCTTAAGAGCTTCACAAAAGGAGCTATGATACAATGATTTATGCACAAATCTGACTTCGGGGATCAGTGTTACACGTGGATATTAGAATGCGCCATGCACTTCCAAATCTATGCCAGCAGCATTTTCCCAGAGTCAAGCTTTTCTCTTCATCTGAAGAGATCCACATTTATTACAGAGCACTTACAAAGGACAGCCAAATATAAAGAAGAAAATTAAAATCGGGCTAGCCCGCCATCAAAAATGATGCCAGCTAAAGTCCTCGGCCATTTATCTTTACACTCCCCCGGAAGAAGCGTGGTCACCGGGAGCTCTTGGCCCATACTTAGGGTCTAAATGGGCCATGCACCTGCTTTATCTCTGCCCTGGGCTGGGTTCTTTCCTCTTTCTCTGCCCAGCAGGCCACATGTCAGACCCCTGACACCTGAATAAATACCAGCAAGCGAGTAAACACAGGACCAGGAAGGTAGGAACCTTACAAATACTTGCTCAACACACTTCTGTCTTTCTGAATTCAGAATCCATTTCTCGATTTCCAAAAATAGGATCCAGCTGCGGATCAAGTCCACAGACCATCCAGGTGTTTGGGAGAGTACAACTACCATGGTTTGGCTCAGACACTGAACACATCATAGGTTTGGGACTTGGGTGTTAAGTCTCCCCTGGATTGCTAAAGGCGCCATCTTCACCTTGGCATTACTGGGAGGTGGTAGAGACTTTACAAGATGGGTCAAATGGGTGAAGTAGAACATGCACTTTCCATATGCATCAAAATGCCAGCCCTTCTTCCTCTTAGCTTTCCCTTTCTGGCCAGGAGTGAGTAGGTTCCTTCTGCCACAGGCTTCCACCATGATGTGCTTCCTCACTATAAGCCAAAAGCAAGGGAACCAACTTCATAATGACTGGGACCTCAAAAACTGTGAGCCACGCCTTTCCTGTTTCTAAGTTCCTTCTTTCAGGTGTTTACTCTAGCACCAGAAAGCCAAGCAGCACACCATCTAAAGTCTAAAAGAGTCTCATCAAATGAGGTCCTTCCAATTGGCTTGGCACCAGCTCTTTTTCACATAGCTGGCTACACCCAATTGTGTCAGCAAAATACAAGTGCAAAGGGATCCTGGAAAGATCACTCATTGGTTAAGATAACTGGCAGCTCTCCCAAATGACTTAGGTTCCATTGCCAGCAGTCACAAGGCAGCTTACAACCACCTGTAACTCCAGTTCCATAGGGTCCAATGCCCTCTTCCGCCCTCCCTGGCCACCTAGCACACAACTGATGCGTATACACACATGCAAACAAAACACCCTCAACACATAAGGAAAAATTTCAATTAAATATGTGCAAGGTGATAGTTATACTGAAAATGCTGAAGGTCAGTTTGGGATCCTCAATTCTAACTAAAGGACTAAGAACATTAGCAACCAATGCCCTCCGGGAAAAGTATTAACGAAGTCCTGCCAAGAAGTGGCCCCTTTAGTTGTTGTATCAGGAACTGCCTGGCTTGGTTCACTGACAAAGGCACACCAAAAACTGACCCCTGGCAAAAAAGTACAGGGCATCTACCAAGGAGGGGTGCAGTCAGTGGCGAGAAATGCACATGAGAATTGAATGCTGCAACTTGTGGAAATTAAAATGTAGCCCACATATAAAAAATGATCAGCAAGACTGACACATGATGTCCCTGTGCTTGGGTGTTCATCTACTGGGTACTCATGAAGGTGTGATGAGCAACTATAAGAGAAAAAGACCAAGCTGTCTGTGGGAGGGGCCTGGGACAAAGCACGGTCCCAAGCCAGGATGAGTCCCAAAGAAACTGCAGTTTGATCAAAGCAAGAAACAAATCTACTTTACTAAAAACTAAAATGTGCCACAGTGCTTAGGAGTAAACATTTGCAGGTTAACATGTCCCATGCTCTATGATGAGCAAATGTTCCCCGATAGTTATATACAGTTTTATATATATATATATATATATATATATATATATATATATATATATATATATAGTGTGTGTGTGTGTGTATACATATAGAGTTATATTTCAGGATGTATATCTATCTGTTGCCTCAAGTTATTAGGCAGCCGTTGTTACTAATGGAGTTAGAGTTAGCAAGAGTCCCATTCAGGTGCCTTTTCTTCTTTTAATTGCATTTGTGCCTGCCTCTCCGGAGAGAGGCTTCTGCGGTTTGGGAGCTCAATTACTACCAATCTAATTAAAAGCCTTTCTTCTTTCCAAAGTCTGGACAGAAACCTCATTAGAGTGACACTGAATTTCCTTGCTGTGTAGCAGCATGGGACCGAAGCACAGAGCTCCACACTGTAATCAACAAGCAGCAGCCAGCCACCACCTGGCTGCACAGCAATGCCAGGCAGAGAGGTCCGCACCAGGCTGCGGAGGAAGTCCGGCACCAGGCAGGATGCTCCCACTCTCCTTCTGCATCTCCTCTCCTCCTGTTACCCTTGGTCAGGTGGCAAGGTCTCCCTTTCCTTCCCACCACAGTATGAAGCCTCCTGCCCAATCAGGCCCATGTGTGCCCACTCCCACATATACAACCCACCAGTTTGCTGCCACAGGGGGATGCTGACTACACCTCACTCCACAGAGGGTCAAAACACAAGTCCATTGGGCATCACCCAAGGTTTTTCTACAAGTTAGGGTTCAGCCAAGTTTGTATTCTTTCGGCAATTATTGCTGGTACTCCCACCACAGCCATCACACTGAAGTGGGGTACAGCAGTCAGTTATATGGTTAGTGCTGGTATTCCCACGACAGTCATCACACAGAGCGGGGGGCACAGCAGTCAGTGATACGGTTAGTGCTGGTATTCCCACGACAGCCATCACACAGAGCGGGGGACACAGCAGTCAGTTACAATTGCTCCTGACTTCCTGGGACATACAATGAGGAGGGATCGGGGTCTCATGTGTAAAAACAACACAACTGTGCAAATGGTTAGGACTCACTGCTTTTGCTTTTATATGCTAGGATCTCTCAACAATACAGTATGTGGGTCCCCGCGTGCCTACCCTGTATACTTCAGCCATGACCCATTGTCCTTTGACCGATGCTGACAGCCCTGCCTGCCAAGGCACCATACAGACGAGTCTGTGTCCAATCCTTCCTCACTTAACAGTACATGATGTACAAGGTCAGCAAACCTCAGGCTCCTGTGAAGTGGAGTTCTGAGCTAACCTAACCCCAAACTCACAGAGGTCTTGTGGGAAGATGGCATAAGTGAGCCTTTAGAAATAACTCTTCGGCAAGACCATGAGTTGCTTAAAGGCAAACCCATCTCCTCTCCCTGAAAAGCTGCTTGAAAATTAGCCCTGAAGTAGTGTCTTCATCTCTCTGCCCAGGCCACTGTTCCCCACTTCCACTCAAGGCTAGTCTGCCTACCCTGCTTCCTAACACAGTGTTGGGCACGGCAGGCCCCAGGTATGCCACCAGTCCTGACACAGCATTGTGCACGGCAGGTCCCAGGTATGCCATCAGTCCTGAATTCCCTTCCTTGCCTCCAGGCTGCACATTTCCATGTTTGCCAGAGGGAAGAGGAAGAGACTAAGATCCTGTGTTTTCAGACTCTGCAGATGGTGCTCCATGTCCCTCTGGTCTCCAGAAGGAGGATGTTCAGGCAGGACAATGCCCACATAGATGCCACTCACGGTGCCAAGATCTACAGAGGATTGAGAGCCTGTTCCTCATACTTTCTCTCCCCCATAAGTATCATCCACAGACACCAACTCACCAGACTATCGTCCTGCATATGAACTCACTTAAACACCCATGCACCAGGGGACGCAGCAACCAATTTACTTCCCTCACAGTCTGGACACCACCTTGATCATGCACTGGAATTCTTTCAGAGAAGGATGCTATATCTCTGGTTATGGGTGAGTGTAGTTCTCTGAGTTCAAGGCCAGCCTGGTCTACAGAGCAAGTTCCAGGACAGCCAGGCTCCACATGAAACCCTGTCTCAAAACACCAAAAATTAAAAAATAAGCCATGAGGCTGAAAACCAGAAAATATTGTTTCTCAATTTGGAGGTTGGATGCCCAAGGTCTCTATACCAGGGTGTGGCTCTGGTATAGCTAGTGAGGGCTTCGGATCCATGGAGAGACTTCTTCAAGCTACCATCTGGCTCTTACTGCCACGAGAGGCTGGGCAACACAGAGGGGCACAGACTATCTCGGCTCCTACCAGTGCGTACTACCGAGGATTTCTCTCCTGGGAAATAACAGTAACAGCTACCACAAAAGCTTCCTGAAACGAGCGAGGAGCAGTGCCATCTAGTCGACAAGATGTCACTCAGTGCTAGCGGTGCTAGCAATTGTGGCTGCAGAGCTGTCACCTGATGGAGCCCTCGTGCAAGACAGAGCCTGCAGCCCAGCACGAGTGCCCCACTGCCAGCTGACTTGCCCTCCATCATTCTGTTTTAACCAGAGCACATCAGTGAGGAGCACCCTTCAATTTGTGTGACAGATTTTTAAGGAATCAACAATAAGTTATGGTGCATCTAATGCAGCCTGCAGAGTGTTCTGATGTCTGCCACGCAGTCTCACATTTCTCCAGCCGTCACTCCTTTGGGAGTTACGAGGAGATGACACTCAACAGTATTTTACAAAACTCTGAGAAAAGCCATCTATCTATCAACCCCGTCTAAAGCCTAGTTTCAGAAAAGATATCAATCCCCATTTGCTTAACACTCTTATAGTTTATAACAAACACGAGTTATTTTATCTATTTTCAGCCATGTTTTTCACTGTGACAATCCAACAAAGCTAGTTACTATTTTAAGTCACTGAAAATGTGCAGGTGGGCCCCCAAATTTCATATTCTATGCCTGTTTGTTTATGAATGCTTTTATATGAACACATACTGCCTTATGATTCATGTGTCAGCTGTGGGACTGTGAGCAAACCTCTGGCCTTCCTTGGCTCACACAGTTAAGGCAGGAGGTAAGCTGCA